GAAATGCCCCACTTCTGTATCTGTGGACACAAGCCTGAACTGAGAGGCTTGGCAGGAGAAGCCGTCTCCGCACGCCCTGTAAGGCTGGCTTCCAGAGGCCTGACATTTTCAATGTGCGGTTTGATTAGCTCAGTAACAGAGTTACACATGCTCAGTAGTTAATGGTATTTAGAGAAAGCAAGATAATGAATTCAATTGGGCAAAGCAGGTGAGCCAGATGTTGTGCACATCAGCTGGTGCCATCGCTGGCGGGGGAATTGGGGAGAAGAGCCCCGTTCTGAGTCCCCTGACCTCCAGACGCGCGTGGAGCCTCCCAGCCAGCTGGTGCATGAGGTGAGAGCCAGTCAAGCCCAGTGGGGAGCCCTGGGGCGGGACAGGACCTGCCTACACCAGTCAAGAGGAAAGGCGCCTGCCAAGGGCGGGTGGGGTCTGCTGTGCCTGCTGTGGTGAGAACACAGATTTCATTCAAAGCAAACTGCTTATTCAAATGTGACCATGCAACAATTCAAAATGCAGAGCAAGGATAAGAAACAGTTCAAATTTGCTCACTATAGGAACTCAAGTGTTTCGTTTTCAGGAAGGGTAAATTGTAACTGTAGTAGACTGAAATACAGAAAGATTTTGTCACTTAGCCTAGTTTCCATCTGGTCAGTCAGCTGTTTCTAGCTGTCTGAACGGGGACAGGTGCCCTTACAAAACTGGCCCTGCGAGACGGAAACTTCTGTGCAAGCAGCGTGGATTTGAAACTGTCCATCACCTTACTAACTATGTGAGCTTGAGCAAAAGTACCTGGCCTCTCCACACCTATTTCTTTACCTGTAACAGAGTATACTAACAGTAATTACTCTTCCGTAGGCTGTGGTAAAATAGATGAAACTATACATATAAGCTACATTACACAATGCCTGGAACATAGTAACACCCCCCCCCCGCCAATGTGAACTGTTATTATCCAATTATGAAGTTTTTTATTCAACACCGTGTTGTGATTAATGAATAAGAAAAATAGCTATCTAGTCTACCTTCCTAAAAAAAGTCTGATAATGTAGAAATGCAGCGAAAAAGAATTTCAGTTTGAATAAGATTACATGTATAATTTATAATCTAATTATGACACTTATAATCATTTGAAATGTATTTTTAAATGTTTTCTATGCAAATGAAATACAGCACCCATTAACCAGTACAAGGTCAACGGGTGTAATGTTGTAATGCATACAAAACTATGGCCTTTTTCTGACCAATGTGAAAATTTTCATTGAGTAGAAACATTATGATGACCCTTTAAAACAACATCAAAATATAAACATAGTCATTTGTCTAATAATCAGTATGCAGAACTAATCATCATGCAACATTTACAAAGTGTGATCAAAAGATACGGTGAATGTTTGAATTTTAAAAATTTTATTACAGTAAGACACATCGCCATTAATCCCCCTCAAAATACTCCCCCTCGCTTTGAACACACTTATCCCACCGTTCTTGCCACTTTCTGAAGCAGTTCTGGAAGTCCTCTTTCGTGAGTGTCTTTACTTCATCCTCCATGACAACGCTCCGTGTCACACATCGCTTCTGGTATATGGACATTTCTGTGCAATAAAAACATTACGGTGTGTCCTCATCCACCTTATTCACCGGATCTGGCACCGTGCAACTTCTGGCTCTTCCCCAAAGTCAAAATGATTCAGGACATCGAGGCAGCCACGACAGAGCAACTAAAGACACTCACAAAAGAGGACTTCCAGAGCTGCTTCAGAAAGTGGCAAGAACAAGGGGATAAGTCTGTTCGGAGCACAGGGACTATTTTGAAGGGGATGAATGGCAATGTGTCTTTTACTGTAATAATTTTCTATTTAAAGATTCCCCATATTTTTTTATCACACCTCGTAAATGGAACCTTACAAATCACAAAGCTTTCTCACTCATTCGTCATGTGTGTCTCTTGGCATTGTCCTTGTTTTACAGGGCATGGTGTTCTCTGCACATCTATGATGTACCAGTCATTGAGCTAGGAAGCTACACATGCTATCTCAGTCTTCATGGTAACATGAAAGAATTCCATTTAAGGATGAGAACAGTTGAGTTGACTTATTCAAGTTGACACAAAGGGTGGCAGAGAACTAGGAATTACATCCAGGTTTCTCCCACCAAGATCCCAAAATCTTTTGAATGCAACAAATCTATTCTCTGCAAAAATTCCAAATAAAAAATGTCAAATGAGAAGGCATCTCGTATATTGGAAACTTATATAATTTTCTTCACTTTGAATACTCACCAAGAGAAAAAAAGCTTGTGATAAAAAAATTAAAAACTGACAAAAAAAATCTTTCTACAGAAATACAAATTAAGAACGGGAGTGCACGAGAGCTGGCACTCCCGCTCCGTCGGGAACCACCTGCTTCAGTGCGCCCCTCCCACCCAGCGGAGCAGCCCCTGATCAGCTCCATTGCTCCTGTATTGCCTCAGCTGTTCATTTTGTTTTGTAACTTAACCTTATTATACAGTTTCATGTTTAAACTAACTTCTTTCTACACTGCTAAAGGGTGTGTTGAGGGTGGTGACCATTTAATCAAGCTAAAACACTAGCGCCTAGCACGTAATTAGCACTTAATGCATCCCCTCTCCAGGTCTCGGCCCCACTCCTCACCCCCCAACCCCCCATTTTTTTAAGCTGCTGGAACTCCCACCCCTGAGATGGGGCAGAGTAAAGCTGTCTTCCAAATGTCACT